AAGATCGAAAATTCCCTAGTGTTTTGCGACCCTAATTCCAACTTCAATATCCAAGTACTCCGACTCCGCTGTCAGGGTACTTGTACTTCTTCATGAGTTAATTGGTTGATTACTCACTATGTTTCTCACAACTCCTTGGCTACTCTCCTCAAAGACTCCTTCTTAACAATCATAGAACTGGCCTGAACCTCCTCTCGATCCTCCGACATGGCCCTCAATTCGCTCACAAAATGATGATTGATTTACGCCTATCTCTAGGCCCTGAAATTCTCAAGAGTTGCATCATTATTCACCCTCTTGAACCTCTCGCATTGACTTTAAAGATGTCATGAAATAAAACTCCCAAATTATGAGAATAGATAAAGTCCAACGGAAAAAAATTAAGGCTCTTAACTCCATCTGAAATATCAGTCCATGCCAAAAGAAAAGACAAATGAAGTTTCAAATATTACTAAAATTGCTCAATCAAGAGAAGTCTCAAAACAATATTCAAACTTGTCTAACAAGACAAAGGGAATTAAACAAGGTCTACCAAAAAGTACGAGAAATGCAATTCTAACAAAATAAGAGACAAATAATCATCACAAATTCGACATTCGATCAACTGTTCAGCCTTGGTTCTGCTCGACTTCAAACTGGGCCATCGTGTATACTCGTGCTTGACCTCCTTCGCCATACCTCAGTTGGGCCTGCTGATGCTGCTGCTGAATTTGTTGCTGAGGTGGCGGCAAGGGAAATTGCTGATGATGGGGTTGGTGATTGGGTTGTTGCTGCTGAAATGGTTGTTGTCCATGTAGTTCAGGGCACGTGCTACGAAAATGTCCTGGGCGCTGGCAGTTGTAGCAGACCTTCTGAGCGTGCCAGCACTCTCCTCCATGGTGACGACCGCAGTTACGACACCTCTGATTCTAACCCTGGTCGACATGGTGCTTACCACGTTGATCGTCTCCTCTACGCTTTCCCTTCCGGTCATCTCGGTGGGAATCTGCCTTCCTCTTGCCCGAGCTAGAGTCGGGCGGCATAGAAGAAATGGGCTGAGCATATTGAACAGTAGTTTGGGCAGGGTGAGAAGCATGGTGATATGATGGAACTGGGACTATAAGAATCAAACAGCTCTCCACTTCCTGAGCCCGACTCACAGTGTCGGCGAAAGACATCAGTCCGTGACTCCCCACCAGTTCACGGATCCTCTGATTGAGCCCCTTGAGAAACATGCGGGCCTTCTTGGCATCGGTATTCACCGAGTCGCCAGCAAAAAGACACATCCGGGTGAAAGTGCGGATGTACTCATCCACCGAGGAGCTGCCTTGCTGCTAGTGATAGAATTCGTGC